ATCCAAGTGCGCGCAGAATCCATCGTCTGTTACTGAAGTATGTTGACGCATGGAGGGGAACCATTGAGCCTCGTGCGCAGCTGCACTTTGCAGACTAGATAGCAGTTAGATGAGTTGCTCATTCGCTGACCTTCAAAACTAATCCATCGCGACGTTAGTTGATGGCTATGTCTGTTCCGGCACTGTACTCCTGGTATGGAATTTCGCGTCATACTGATGTGGCAGCGCTGACTGCAGGACGATACGGAAGCTGCCTCTCATGACGACCTGGAACTTATTAAGCATATTGTATAGTTCATCGCCTATGGGCGACGGTCAGCCACGCCGTTGAAGCTTCTGATGGTCGTTGCACGGTACCGTAAAGTTACCGGTATTTGTTCACTTGTTCGACTGCCCCTCCCACCCCTTGCGACATGTCTCCCCACGGGCTCCGGCATTACAAGCTGGACGGAAAGCTTTGACCGCATCGCGGTTCATGCGATCCCCGACAAGGGCGGGTTACCCTTCAGCTATTTCCAGCTCGCCAATTCATCTCGTCAGTTGTCACGGGGCTTCCATCACTAGTGTCCCCGCGTGCACGTCGTATCGGCGCATCTGAGTCGGCTCGTCTTCCGCTTTGTTAGCGGCAAGCACCCGGCTGTCATCCCAACCCTTCTCGTACCTATGCAGTGGTCCATGCTCCGCCTCTATGACCTCAGCCCGTCTTAGCCCAACCGTTGCTTGCTGAAGCTCCAATCTTCCTTGCGACGTCCAGGACGAGGTTGGTGCCAAGGGCTGTTGCGAGACCCTTCATTGTCAGACGAGCTCCCAGGCAGTCTTCCCGACTCAACGTCCGCACCCATCGCACGCGGCTTAGCTCGAATTGCTCCCTCTCGGCATCAGCCAAGCGCATCCCGAGTTGTCGGCTGATTGAGCCCGGGCGATTCTTTCCCAAACAGACATCCCAAGCTCCCTTTACCCCACATCGTGCTGTCTCCAAATCCGCTGTCCCACGCACGCGTCTGGTTGCTTCCACTCTTCCATACATGTACGTAAGTGACTGTGCAGAATGGTCTGGGGACAGGAGGGCATGAAAGCTGACTAAGTTTCTGACGGACTCAGCCCGTCTCAAACGTTACTTCGCCGCTCATATTGATAGCGCCCATTGCCCCACGAAGTATCTCAGTTCCGTTGCCCCTGACCGTCAACAAACGCCGAACACAAAGGGGGCAGGCCCATCAACGCGCATTCGACACCAACTTTTGCGCTCCTGCGTCCTCCGATCGCGTACTCCGTAGACACGTCTCTCCCAATTTCTCGGCGCACAGACACCCGCCTCCTCGACTGACCAGAGGGCGAGAACAGCGCAAAGGCGAGCGCATGAACTTGGTTCTTGAGTTCTTTTGTGGGGATGCTGTGGTCGGGGCAGCAATAGCATGACAGAGTTCTAGCCTAATATCTAGCCGGGTCATCCTCGGTTTACGGCACGGAGAGACACGAGGCCGTCGTTCGCAATACCTCTGCTGAGCTGGATTGGGGTTGACGGAACGTTCCAAGCAACAGTTTCGCCAGGTACAGCCCACCCCCGGCACCTGGGAGGCGATCCTCCCGGTCTGCTCGAGACATAATGCGACGCAGTCGAACTCCACCCGCGGCCTCGCCCTACCGCGCCCTGGCGCACCATCATGCCCAGCATGGCGCAACGTCCCAGACGGGCCAGCAGGCGCGTGAGTCAGTGTCGTCTGTTCTCAGGTCCTTTAATGTCGAGACAAACCCGACCCGGCCTGTGCGCCCCTCGCCGCTGACCGCTTCGACCATACCGCACATGCCCCTTGACCTGGTCGACCGCATCAGATCATTTCCACTCTTCATGTCCGCCCCTGACGACTTTCTCGCCGCAATTGGCACCCATATGCGGCCTCAAATCCACTCTGCACACGATCACATACTCACCGAGGGAGACGAGGCGAAAGCGATGTACTGGCTGGTCCGCGGCGTCGTCGCCGTCACCTCTCGCGATGGGGAGGCGGTCTATGCGGAGCTTAAGCCGGGCGCCTTCTTTGGCGAGATTGGCGTGCTGATGGACATGCCGAGGACGGCAACCATCATCGCGCGGACAAAGTGCTTGCTGGTCGTGCTTAAGAAGGAGGACCTGCAGGCCGAGCTGCCCAAATACCCGGAGATGGAGAAGGCCATCCGGCAGGAGGCGCAGGAGAGATTGGCCATCCTCCAGAAGAAGCGCCAGGAGGGCGGGCAGCCTTGCAAGCTTCCAGGCACCAGCGGTGCGAAGGTAGCGCGCGAGTCGGTGCCGGGCAAGGTCAGCACCGGAGATGTGGGGGTCATCAAAGAGGGATCAGTCGTGAACACCAAGAAGCGCAAATCGCCAAGCCCCGGTGTCATCGAGGACCAGGCCATCAGCGGAAGCGCCCTCGGCAGCGGCTACATCAATGTCCGCAAGACGCTCAAAGAGCTTCCCCTGTTCGCGACACTGCCTTCTGACATTCTCCATTTTCTCGGCCTGAGCGCGCAGCCCAAGACATACCCCCCATTTACCGACATTGTCCGCCAGGGAGCTTCTGGTAATGACATATTCTTCATCGTGCGTGGGGAGGCTGAGGTGTTGCATGAACCGCCAACGCCTACCTTTGAGAGGGAGACAAAAAGGAGCTATGCCGGTCCACGGTTAAAACAGGGGCAGTACTTCGGCGAGGTAGCGAGCCTTGGTCTGTCGCAGTGGAGGACCGCCACTGTACGGTCCGTTACGGACGTTGAGTGTCTTATGATCCCTGGAGACGCCCTCGACGAGTTGTGGAGGAGATGCCCGCCGGAGGTCAAGTCCCAGGTAGAGAAGACCGCCAGGGAGCGGCTGCACGCAGCTGAAGAAGATGTCGAGATGAAGGATGTGGAAACAGATAGCGGAAAGCAAACAAGACTGACGGAGCAGGACCTACCAGCGGCCGCCCTTACAGCCTCGAGACCTCCGTCGCCAGCGACGGATGAGGCAGATACACGGCGCCCGTCGGACCCGGACCCGTTCCTGAGTGTCGATATGGAAAAGCTGCGCAACAGGCGGCGGAATTCGCTTGCTCCTCCAGCACCGCAGTCGGATTCCAGCGTCATTGTTAGTGGGATTAAGGTGCCGTCCAAACCACCTACTCCTTCCCTGTTGTCACCAGTATCACTCGATGATTCCCCATTGCCCGCCAAGCGTGCGCGCATGCTTCCAGAGGAGGGGTCGGGAAAGGCTAGGAAAGAGGGTCCGGAATTTCCAGATATCATCTGGATTGCGGTGTTTCAGCATCTCGATCTCCTCGAGCTGATCCGCCTGAGGATCGTCTGCAGCCACTGGCGTCAGTTGTTAACAACAAGCCCGAAGCTTTGCACCAACGTCAACCTTGGCCCGTTCAACAAGAAAGTAACAGACTGGTCCCTGACCAACATCCTGGCGCCATTCATCGGCCCGCGCCCGGTCGAGGTGGACATCAGCAACTGCTTCCACATCACCGACGAGGGGTTCCAGGCCCTCTGGAAAACCTGTGGTAAGAACGTCAAGATCTGGCGCATGCGAAGCGTCTGGGACGTCTCAGCCACCCAGATCCTCGACATGAGCGAGTGCGCCAAGGACCTCGAAGAAGTGGACTGGAGCAACTGCCGCAAAGTGGGCGACAATCTCCTCGCGCGCGTCGTAGGCTGGGTCGTGCCCAACCCGGCTCCCTCACGGGATCCTGCCAACAAGAACGTCGTCATCTCCAACTCAGCCGCCAAACCCCGCCGCTCCCAACAACAACAACAACGACCAGCCCAACCGGGCCCTCCCCCAAACCACCCCCCTCCGCCTGTCCCAGGGACCGTGATCGGCTGCCCGCGCCTCCGCCGCCTGAACCTGTCCTACTGCAAGCACATAACCGACCGCTCCATGGCGCACCTCGCCGCGCACGCATCCTCCCGCCTCCAGTCCCTGACCCTAACCCGCTGCACCAGCGTCACAGACGCAGGCTTCCAGTCCTGGGCCCCCTACCGCTTCACGGAACTCACGCACCTGTGCCTGGCCGACTGCACGTACCTGTCCGACAAGGCCGTCATCGCGCTGGTCAGCGCCGCCAAGAACCTCACGCACTTGGACTTGTCGTTTTGCTGCGCGCTGTCGGATACGTCCACGGAGGTCGTTGCGCTCGGGCTGCCGATGCTGCGCGAGCTGAGGATGGCGTTTTGCGGGAGTGCCGTGTCGGATGCGAGTCTGGGGTGTGTCGCGCTGCATTTGAATGAGCTTAGGGGGTTGAGTGTAAGGGGTTGTGTGAGGGTGACCGGAAATGGGTTGGAGAATGTGCTTGAGGGGTGCAGTAGACTGGAATGGGTCGACGTGAGTCAGTGTAAGAACCTGGGCGGGTGGCTGGTCGGTGGTGGCGTGGGCAGGTGGGGGTTTGATGAGCGGCAGGAAAGGATGGGAGAAGGGGAATGGGTGATTGCAGCTGCTAGTCCCCCTGGTGGTGGTATGGCGTTGGGGCCGGGTCCCGTGTTGCGGCCGGTCATACCGCCGAGGGGCGCGCCGGCGGGGAGGAAGAGGAAGCCGGTCAAGTTTGTGGTGGAGAAAGGGCCTGGTGGGTTGAGGTGATGGAAGCATGTATCTGCGGGTTCAGGATGAATGATATGATGAAGTTGATGATTGGGGTATTTGCTGGCAATGTAACGATGGGACGTGTTTGAGTATGGGCTTGCATATTGGACATTAGACTTGGTTAGGGGACGGTCATTAGAGACGGAGGCAGGCCGCCGCATATTATGTCAGGATGTACATAACTGTCATATCATGGAGGGGTTGAAAATAGGCTGATACCCGGCTGTACGTTGTTATGTACTTGGATAGCGGACATGCTAGAAGCTAAGAATGATAGCTGCGAACAGAGAAGGTTTTGTTCTGTTTTCTATTTCCTGGTTGTCTTTTCTCCTTTTCCTTCCCGGCAATGGGCTAGTCAGGCGTAAAAACTATGTCGGCGATCGCGTCTTGCACCAATTTAACACCGACCCTGCTAGCTCAATGGTCGAGCATGTGACTTCTAATCACAAGGTTGTGGGTTCGAGTCCCACGTAGGGTTATTTTTTCGTCCCACTTGAGAATCGGACAATGAATTTTCTTTGCTAATAAACACTTTATTGGGTTTGAACCGGACCTGAGTGGACGGAGCCTCTCACTTTCAAAGCACGGGATCTTGAACTGTAAGTCCGTTCTAGACGCTGATCATCGGTACGCCTAGGAGACGGGGAGAAATACGAGCAAATACGACGTGACGATTCCAAAGCCGCCCTATTGTCCATTTACACGGCTGTCGAAGCTCTTTTCATGGTTGTCAAGTACGCAGGATACGATATCTTAGTTATTCGGCACCCTTGGATTTTAAAGCTAGCGGTCAGAAAGGCCAAGCCAGCTCAGCAATGATGGTTTGTAACTGTGGAACCATGTCTGTACACACAGGAAGGTAGGGAAGAGGCTCGAACTGTGTAACTAAGGTATTGGTAATCTGTATATCCAGTCGCGTCTTCCTCCTCTCTTCCGGCGGCCGGGGATCCGGGATGGGTTGAGCGCCGTGCGTGACGCATCGCTTAAGGCATTTTGTATACTAGCACTGTCTCCATCCAGCGGACTATCCAGGATGCACCAAGCGGCCCATGGCGGCCTCCCGTCAACTTCTGTCGGGTACCTTTGTAGGTCCTGCCAGCCGGTCATTGGCTGGCCCTACGAGATCCCTGGGTACATGTCGAAGATGGGCCCAATACGAGAATGAGGGACATTCGTCAGGGATTGGCACTTACAACATACAGTAAGGTTGTCAGTTTCCTCTTTGCGGAGGATTCCAGACCAACGGTTTCTTTTCTCCTTCCCTTCTCTCAGGGACCAACGGCAAAATACGGCAATATGCTTTGTTTCTCTTAATTCCTTTTCTGGCTAACAGAAACGGTCTGTTGTGTTGAATGCCGCCATTGTCTCCTTTTCACGGCCATGGTGCGGGTAGCCGGTACTCGTCTGGCGCCGGCGTCCATGATCGCTTTCATCGCACTTACTGGCACGCTTATCCCATCCGTAACAGACGCGGCGTATGTGCAATGGATACCTTGCGTTGACGGAAACGGAGGGGCGCAACTTCAGCAAGGGTTCAAGAACCTCTGGCCAACGTCCAACCGGGCGCGCCTTCTTCCCGGCAACGATTCTTCCGGACAGAGCGGTGACTTGCTGGAGCTCAATGTCCGCGCCGACTACCTGGGCGAGGCGACATGCGCGGAGCTGCTGGACGACGGCCCGTCGGATATGACCATCACGCTTGACGCGCGCATCCGTCGGAGACGTACTTCGTCCGCCCCTCGAACTGGACGTGCTTGCAGTATGGGGACAGGCCTGCCTGGGAGCAAAGGTATATACGGTGTCCTGTTCGGTGCTTCCCGAATCTAACTGAACAGGTATCCCCCGGGCCGAGGATCCCAACTACGGCTCAACGCGCACGTCGACCTCGGCGTGCTCGGCCTGCTTCCGACATTTGCGGCCCAGGTGACCTTTTCGGCAACCAACAAGAGCGGCTCGACGGAGGTGTCATCCGCGTGCATCTATTCGGAGACACTCCCCAACTACGCAATGACGTGTCGGCCGCGGCGCGTTACGGGCCCATCACTGTCTTCCTGCTTGTGTTCGTATCTGGCCTCCTCGCCACACTACTCATGCCAGCGGTGTCGGTGAGAGGTTCAAGCAGTAGCCCTCTAGCGGAAGCAGAGGGAAACGGAGGCGATCATCACGAGTACATCCTGCCCGGGGTCGCCGATTGCCTGCTTTACCACAGTTCATCTTCTTTCTGGGCGCCCTCACGCTTCGATACCCCGGCTTCTACCAGCCGGTCACGAGCCTGTCGCACTGGTCGGCCCTATTCAGCCCGATTGGGCCCTTCGGCCAGGACCGGCGGTACGACATGGCCAAAGACGGGCATCTACGAGATCAACGGCACGCTCACGGGATCGTACGGGCCCGTGAGGATGGACGTGTGGTGGAACATGGTCGTCATCGCGGCAACCGTCACCGCGGGAGTCGCTGTGCTCATGCTGGCCTACAGATTCGTCTCGGTCCTCGTCCCCTCTCTCAGCGTCTCGTTGCCTGGAAATAAAAACCTCGACCGCCGGGGCCCGCTCTCCCGCTCGGCCATCGCCCGCGGGACATGGAAGGTGCTGCGGGTCGTTCTCAGCTACTTTCTGAGCCCGATTGTCGCCATCTCGGCCTACCAGCTCCACAATGTCATCCTTCCAGCGTACCACCTCGCTCTGGCGGCGCTGCTCATCGTGCTGGTAATGATCGGCCTAACGTGGATGTGGTGGATGGCGCCGTCGAACCAGCTCTGGGTCTTGCTTCTGGAACCGTCGAAGCGGTACCGCCTGGTCAGGAGAGACTATCCGGACGAAGACAGCGGCGAGAGGTTGCCGCGCAAGAACCGGGACATTTTTGCCGTTATTATCTTCACGCTTCAGTTCGCACGCGGCGACGCCGTGGGCGGGCTCCAGTTCTCGCCCCTCTCACAAGTCGTCGGCCTGGCCGCCATCGAGCTGTCCCTGCTGGTCAGCACCGCGGTTCTCCGGCCGCTGAGGCGGCCGTTCCTGTCCGTGTTCGTGTGGTCGGGAGTCGCCCGCCTAGTGGTGGTCGCGCTTACGGCCGTCTTCCTCCCGGAGCTGGATGCAAGTGTATCGGTGAGGAGCCGCGTGGCGATCGCCATCCTCGCAATCCACGCCGCTGTGCTGGTGTTCGGGTGTGCCGTGCCAGCCGCCATCCGTCTTGCCAGTCTTGTGTATCTCATACTACAAGCGCCAAGGGAGAAGCCACAGGTGCGTTGGCCAGATGGTGGACTGCGCTGAATCCGTTCTTACCGGCTCCTACGCTGTAGATTTATGGACTGAGGCAACTGAGACGGCGCCACGATGCCGTCAATGACCTCTCCGCTGCCGGCATGCTGTCTACTACGGTCGAGAGCATTCCCAACGCCACGAGGACAAACTCCCTGGTTTCCTACCATCGCCACAGCCCGCATAGTTTGAGCAATGCAAGCAGCATAAGCTTCTACCTCGACCCAGACTCGTCCCCCGACGCGCTGTATCTCCAGGCGGTTCCCCAGCAGTACTACTACGTGCGGCCCTTCCGGCCCTCGGCAACCACCGGCCCGTATTCCTCTACCCACTCCCCTGCTTCTTCGACAACCTCGCCAACATCACAGCTGGGGACCCGTTGTCCCGAGCGAGATGGCTCATCTACCACCGCCACTAACACCATCACCTTATCCCGCTCTGCCAACATACGGGAAGCGCCCCAGCAGTCCTCCCATTTTAGCTCCCATACCACTATCTCAGAAACCTCGGAGCCGTCTCCGCTGCCGCCGCCTCTCGCGCCGCAGTGGTCGGATTACTCGTTCCGCGAGGCCGACTTATACTACCGCCGCGGGCCTTCCCAATGCGATGCCGAGGATGTTGGGGACGATGCAGCAGTACTAGTAGCAGATGCCACCGAGGAGTCAACCGTTCGTAATGGCGCGTCGAGCTCGTGGGCCTTGATAACGGGCCGCAAACGGTCTAGATCGGTTGGAAGGGAGAAGGCCGCGTCAAAGGGGTTTGAGGTCCGGAGGCCGCCGAGACCTGCTGGTGTTTGATACTACTAGTACTAGTAGTATCGCTTGATTGCTGATGTGACCGAATTAGAATTAGAAGCCTCTTCCGCCAGGACCGGGCGTTCTGGCCTTGATTACCTAGACAGGCCCCGTTGGGATCCAGGTTGGGATCCTCTTTCTTGTTTCCACTGCGTGATATCTGGAATCTGACTACGAGTAGATGGTCTTCGAGAAAGAACAGGGGCCAGTGGGCCGTAGCCAGAGCATGAGCGACGCATCTGAATTGGGGCACTTCGGCTAAGCAATGTCGTCTGGAACCTAGGAGGGATGTTACAGCTGGGCTTGATGGGAGAGCGGTTCCGATGGAGGCTTTGCTCGGATGCCAGGGGGAAGGATGCGCAAAGAAGTGGCGTTAACAGAAGGCGGCTGGACGAGAAACGACTTAAGTAAGGTATTCAGCATAACAATTGTGGATCGAAAACATAGCGACCGTAATATTTACAAAGAATGAGATGATACAGAAGAATTAGTGAATTATGGCAGTCTCAAGGCAAGGCATCAACGGGCCAACGACTGATAAAGAGGGACAAACTACAACCTCCTCCTCCGAGCCGAGACCGTGACAAAGGTCTCCTCCTGAACAGGGCCCGGAACAATGGGTTCGAACAGCGCCGAGAGGTCCGTCGTCGTCTCGCTGCTGTCCCGCTGTTCCAGGCGCCGGACACCAGCAGCCGCGCCGTCTTCCTCGTCAGACCTCTTGCTACTCGCGAAGCCGGTGGGGTTCAGCTGGACGTCGGTCATGATGAAGCGGGCGGAGCCGCCGACGGGGGTGCGGCACGAGATGACGGCGGTCAGGTCGACGTACAGGTTCGCCTTCTGCTTGGAGACGCCCGGCTCGCCCTCCTTGACGTTGCCGACGCGCCAGGGCCCGAAGGTCATGTAGGTCGGGTTGCTGGCGCCGATGAAGTACCAGGGCGACGAGCGGAAGCCGTCGCTGGCGTCGGGCCCGCTGGGCTGGCCCGTCAGCCAGCGCACCTGGCAGTCGGCGTTGCTGGTGACGCCGGCGCCGTTGACCTGGTTGACGTAGCCCATGTTGAACTTGAGCTCGTAGTCGAAGCCCGGGCACACCTTGACCTTGGGCTGCGTCAGCATGACGTGGAACCCGCCGGCCGGCAGGTTGGTCATGGTGACCGAGATGGCCTTGACCGGCGGCTCGCCGGCCTTCCACGTGTACGAGCTGGCGCCGAACACCACGTCGGTGCCCAGCGTGGTGCCCGGGAAGGCGGCCGCGGTCCAGTTGACGAACCACGGCGCCCGCACCTCGAACATGTTGTTGGTGACGGCCTGGTCCGGCGCGCACTCGTCGGGGCTGGGCTTGTAGCACTGCCCGCCGATGCAGTACTTGGGGTCGCAGACGTTACCGCAAGCGCCGCAGTTGTTGGGGTTGTTGCGGAAGTCCAGGCACGTGG